GACCAGGAAACGTTGTTTGACGCTCAAGCGAACATAAACATTCGCGAGTCCGTCCTGGAGCCTTTCGAAGAAAATTTCGACGCGGGTCTGCTCGGAGGGGTCGCATGCAAACCAATGAATCCAATCCCGCCTGGACTGTGGAAAATCTTTCGGGATTCAGTCCATCTATAATCCTTGCCCTCCAAGCACCTCCGGTGCGATGCTTCCGTCGATACATGCTCGTAATGTATTTATTATATCGGAAACTAACATCTGTCAAGTGGACGACCGGAGAATCGAATTCCCATTCTCTGTCTGAGAAGACCGCGTTGAGCTTCACGGGGTCGCTGACTCTTTCCCATGTGGAAGGTGGAAATTTGACGTCCAATCGATCCAGACGAGTACGCGCGAAACGCTTCAGGCTGGAGAGCTTCGACATCTGGGGAACAAGGGATTTAGACCCGATACGGGGTGCATTCCATTCATGATTAATGGAATAAATTATCCCGAGGATATTTCTCCCGGGAGGAGGATCATAAATTCGATGCAAGTCCGCTCCCTCCCACGCTCGATGTTTCAAACGATTCATGAACTTCGGTTCAGAGTTCCCGCATCGCGTCGGGACCTCATAGCGGATCCCCTGAATTCGCGGAGATCGCGAGCCCAATGTCGTCGGACGAGATCACCCGCCGAGCGCAACTACTTCCCGCGAATGAGCTCGGAAAAGGTCGTCCTCCGACGACAGAGAAGAATGAGGCTCGCATCATTCCATGGTTGCGTAGGCGCTGTTCTCTGCGGAGCACCCGCTTTCGGACCTGGCTTGAATCAATATCCGAGCAACCCCTCCACAGATTTTATGATTGAAGATTGACTGGACGAATTTCCACAATTCGGCATCTTGCGTGAGATTCGAGGAAAATTCGGAGAATGCTATCGAGTTCACCGATACGGACGAGGCGTCAGAATCTGAGATTATCCATGCAAGACAGCCCACCACGATGAGGAACGAGGATCATTGTTTAGACATCGCTCCCGGCCAACACGAGAGACCGCTAAACCTCATTTTTGAACTTATGCTGAGGAATTGCCGTTCCCCGACACCTACCTCGGTGTCGGACATGGAATAAGGCTCTCGAACGTTCGCAACCGAGTTCGTGGTATAGTCTCGCAGTCCCGCAGTTGCCACATATCCAGTCCCGATTCTGGCCCGTGGGCCGCCCCTTCAAGACCCCTCAGACCAGTGGTTCTCGACCGAGGTGCAGGTGCACCCCCAGGAGTACATAGGGGCGGGCGGGGAGTTTTCGGAGTGTTGATATCTAGCTATCCGAACTCGCCAGGATGATCGCAGCCGCAGAAAATTACTAGCAGAATACTATGGGCTGATACGTCGGCGTCGTCGTGCTTCGGGAAAAATCATAATCAGGCACAATCACCCTCGTGAGCTCGAAGCTCTTACATGCGCAATATCAAATCCGGCTATCGGGTCCTGGTACGAACGGATCTTCCGGCCCACTCCAAGAGGGGCGCGGACAGAAGAGGTGGAGGATCTCCGCCTAAGACCGTTCTCAGCAGAGAGAGATCATCCATTCAAAGGTGCGAGACGGCCAAACTAGGGGCCATACGAGACCACTCTTCCCCGAGGACGGGACGCTCTCCCTCTCCCATCGGCGTCCGTAAACAGTACCGCGAGTGCCTTTCATTCAATCACGCGCCTTGGATCCCGGACCTGACATATGTTTATCAGGATGCCATCGCGTCTTATCGGAGCAGGGGCGTGGCCGGCACTTCCCTCTCAAGGCTGGGTGGATGGCCGGGCATGTCGATCTGGAGAGAACTCTGACATGCTTGTCACACCGATTTCCGCCGGGGGGAGAAACATCGATAGATTCGGGGAGCGGAGAGCGAGAAGAAACGATACAGGCGATCTTAATCAGACCATCGCTCTCTGTCTGATATGAGCTCCCCGATTATGATCAATCAATCACCTCGGTTCGTTAAGGCAATCGGTTACGGTGATTCTGGATCGAGAATCGATCGATTCTACGTCCTCCATTTGCGGGAGGCTGCGGCGGAACGCTCGATGTACATTTAAAACTCATAGGAAGTGTCCTTCTCGCGGCTTACCTCGGCGTCGAACTAGTCGAAATGAAGTCCACTCTGAATCTTGAGCTGAGTTTCTCAGCGAAGGAGGAGGTCCTTGCCCTTGTCAAACGCATGCGGATGTCGAGCTGATTCGATCAGTTGCACTCCATCGTGGAGAGGGAGTTCCATTTCGATTGAAAAGCTCGCTCGCTCTCTCCACGCTTGAACAAGGTCATCTAGCCAGAACTGGCCACTAGTAGTAGATTCGGGGAAGGAACAGTCCTCGCCTCGGAGATTTACGTCTGCGGAACGGCAGGCTACGGGATTTTAGTAGCTGAACGGAAGAAGCGGTAGTATTTTAAGTAAACAGTGATCCGAATGGAAGAGGAATGAGGTGCTCGGGGTTCACAGCTTTCCCATTTTATTCCTCGAAAATACCATACTTCTCCCATGCGTATTTCTGTACGTCAAGAAACTCCGAACGCCGGTGGCGGAGTTTGGAGCCTTCTTGGTAATGCTCAAACCAGGGAGTTTTCCGAAATATGAGGGCTCCGAAGATTTTGGAGGATTTTCGGTGAATTTACGCATGAATGTGATGTGAAAGAAGACCAGGCGGCGAATTCCGGTTTTTCGATGATCGATCTAGCCACTAAGCTTGACATCCGATGTGGGGCGTCTCCCCCGATGGCGTCTGGGAAAAGTCCGTCTCCTTCCTCGCCTCGACTGCCGCGCCGATTTTCTCCTTGAAGGGTTCAGATGAAGTCCTGGCGGCATGCTCCTCGTAATCCAAGCCCTCGTCTCCTGGCTTCGGTCTTGAGAAGAGTCAAGGTCTTCGTGATTCTCGCACTTCACCACTTATGTCTGAGTGTTTTCGCTCCTGGAGAGTAATTCCCTCCTCATTTTCTCTTTTGGGATCGATGGACCGGTGGAGTATCCCATTGTTTGCGTCTAAAACGACTATTTCTCCGGATTTGATGATGTCAGTAATTCCGATGAGTCCGACGATCGCCGGTAGGCCATACTCTCTGGCGACCACAGCGCCATGAGAGAGTAGACCACCGACTTCGGTGACAACTCCAGAGAGAAGCGGGAAATAAGGAGTCCATCCTGCGGCGGAACGGAATGTCGTTGAAATCTCTGATCGATCGCCTTGCCTGACGCTCATCGAGGTTTGACTGTTAAGAAGGAGTCGCTAATCGACTCACCTGTATCTGTCGCTCGAGTGATGAGAATTTCTCCTTTCTTGATCTCATGCGCCTGACTTACGAAATCGAGAATGACTCGTGCAGGTCCCTCGACCTTGCCTTGACTCACGGGAGTGCCCCGGAAACCTTCGTCGCCCGGGTCCGCAGAAATAGTCGGAATTTCCATCTGCTCGATCAATATCAGAGTAACAATCGGATGCAATTGGATTTCTCTAGAGCTCCTCCTGATCTCGCCCCCGTCAGCAGTTTGAACTCACGGGTTTCGGCATGCCGCAGAAGAGGACTGGAAATCGCTCTCTGTTGAGTGAGGGATGCATCTTCTGTCTCCGGCGGGCTCTGTGGAAGGATCAGGTAGCATGGGAGTGCTAATTCCATTCCGTGGTCGAGCGGAGCCATTTTCCTCATTATCCGCCACCGACCCCACAGTCCACGCTGTCTCACCTCGGAAGTAGGCTGGGATCTCTCGTTGTAATTAGTCTGTAGAGCTCATCGCTATCGAAGAAGAATATCAGCTCCGGATCTGGTAGCCTTCCCTCGGCTTGGAGTTGCAATCCCAAGCGGCGCATCGCTAGACGAACCCCGTGAATGCTCTTGATCAGAGCGGATTTCGTAGCCTCCCTTGCGTAGACTGCGTACTTAGCTCTAGGTAATAAGAAATTGAGGATCTTCCGCTGCATGAGGGACGGTCGCTTGGGTAATTGATCCACGGAGAAAGGATGCTCATCCTTTTCCGCATCCTCCTGCTGCGGTGACCGAACGCTGGCTTGCAGCGTTTGAACCAGAGGAATAGGATCGATGTCCCAGGTTTTCGACTCAATGTCGAATTCCTTGTAGCAACGGTGAGCGTGTTTTGACCGTATCGCTCTGAATTGATCAGCGGCTGAACCGCTGTCCGCCTCAAGCCATGCCAACGCTTCCTCGGGAGCCATCGAGACGAACCGCTCGGCCATTGGGTCTTCTCTGAGCAGATTCGAGAGTGCCTTGGACCGATTGAAATCCGTTAGAGAAGATTCAACGAGTAGGATCTCAGACAGCAATCGCATGCTCCTTCCACGAACAATTACCGTGAGCTCCGTTGGGATGAGCGCGCTTTCGACCTCGAGGTTGGATCGCAGCAGTTTCGATAAGAGGACCATGAGCTCAGGGCAGAAGTCCGACAAGCCCTGACTCTTCTTCAACACGTTCAAAATGAAGATGTTATACACAGCAGAAGGCATCAAACCATTCATGAACCCTTCCAGGAATATGTCCATTTGCGGGAGCTGACAGATAATGCTCAGAAATTGGCTCAAGGCGTCCCCATCTTCCGGGACGTCGACGGTCAGTTCTTCTGCTCGTTCTCGGACCTCCCTGACCGTCTCCTCGATATTCCACAAGGCCTGTCAATAGAAGAAGTGACTCATGCATTAGCCGCTCTCGTGGAGCACTCCCGAATGCTCTCGTCGAGTCGTCCAAAGAACTTACGTTAACAAGAAGCCTGAGCATACCGAGGCCCGGGGGTGAGCCTCCATGAACGATACCGTTCTTGAAGGCTTCGTGCTCTCGTATATCGTAGCCGAACATGGTAATTCCATTAATTCTCATCATTGTCTTGTTTTCGGCCACCCCTCTCTGGAAAGGGTCAATCATTTGGCATTCCTTCCGCCTCTCATTCGAGAGCTTTTATAGCTTCAAGTACACGTGAACTCACTTGAGAGAAATTCATAAAGACTCTCTTGCCGCATATGCTGTTTTGAGGGTCCGTAATTGACTACGATCTGTGCCACCCCACTTCGGTCTATCTTCCTGTCTCATCGTCGTGAGCAGCGAGCGACCGAGAGGAGAGAAACGCCTGGCATCACTTCGC